TTTTTGTTTGACAGCTTGAGTACTTTGTTCTGAATATGATTTCAAAATTCCGCTCCACTTAGCACCTAGGTATATGTGAAGGAAATCCTGTGGAGCACTCAGTTTCTACCCAGCTTCTTTCTGCGTTTGCATATTGCGTCTAAGGTATTGGTGGTACGGCATAATCGCAGATTTGACTATTGTGTCTGCGGATTCCCATGTGTGAGCTTGATTTATACTTCATTGGACTTAGTGAAATACACTGGGTATGTGGTCAAGATTTGAGCAAAATTCATCAATTATTATGGAAGTTACGGCTGTGTTCATGCGGTCGGGCCGCGAACCCAGACTGCCACCTTAAGGATTGTCCCAAGGCCGCAGAGATATTTACGAGCTTCGAGAGCCCCAATTTCGATACCTATAATGGCTTTGATCTTCGGTCACGGTTTTTATAGGGTTCCGCCAGCTGTTGACAAAGGAAAATCGTACGGATGAAATAGTACGGGAGGAAAAAACCGTACGCACTTCAGAAATGTGTAGCTTTCAGTAGTACACCGTACATTTTATCCAGTGGATAGTGATAAGGCCCTTGGCGGGAAGGTCGCTGATTGATCGTTTCCTGGACAACGAGACAGACCTCGTTCTAACTAATCTATTAAAGTATTTTTATAAAACGAAGCAGCCGGATCCGGAATGGTGACCTTTAAGGTTTTATTGATATGCGCATGAAATATACCAGAAAAAGTACCAAATTTCTGCTGGCATTACTCGTACTACTACTACTAGTATCCGCCAAGGGCTGGAGAGGAAGGGAGGGAGGGAGGGCGAGAGAGAGCAAGTAACATCAAGATAATTTTTTTCGTAAACATCAAGATTATAATTATACTAATAATAATGATACGGTCTTGGTAACAATAGTTACATTAGTACAGTCATGATGTACATGACATGTAGCTCGCTGAGCCTCTTCATTTTCTTTTTTTCTCTTCTTCCGTGGTTGGTCTCACCCTCTCATCAATTCAATTGGCTGTCTTGACATGCCACGAGGTGCAGAAGTTAATGTACATGACTTCTTTCACTGCATAGGGCTAATAAGGCCGTACTCACACTACTTGAAAAACCGAATACAAGTGACTTACGTGTGAATGTTGCCACGGTGACGGTTGCGAAAATGAAAAAAGCCCTTGAAAGCCGCTTGAAAGGTTTCAGCGGAAACGGAACCCTCTTCTACGAGGTTTTTTGCTTTCAAGCCGTTTGGAAAGCTGTGTGAGGTCAGGAGGCCGGAGTACTATTGTACGTTGAAAGACTCTAGAATATTTTTCGTGCTTTTGGCCTCGTGGCCGTACTGCTTCTGTACATATACTTGTAGTTTCCTTTTTTTGCCTGTCATTTCTGAATTTTGTGGTGTTTTTTCCGAGTATTTTCCGTCTTCTTTCTTCCAGTAGCTTCCCGTTGTTTTGATTGCCGTTTCTGTAGCGGAATTTCTTTTGTACCGACATCATGCCTCGCGTAGTGTTTTCTGACGACTTGGAGAAGAAGCTCATCGAGCTATGGAGAGAAACCTCTTCATCCGTCGACGTCCACGATGTGCTACTTCTTCGCGAGGCATGGCGAATGAACTCCACGATCTAAGCAAGATATAACTGTTTCTATTTTTCTCATGAACTGAAAATTTCAAATAAGTTGATCGAGCGCAAAAAAATTGAAGGAACGCAGCCTCGGGATTTGCAAAACTACCACATGACAATCATGTTTCTCCATGGTAATTTGCTGACAAAAATGTTTCAAGTCGTCACTGGAGTGCAGTGTGCTTGGAAAGGCTTTTTCAAGTACTTTTGTCTAGTTTTGAACGCGACATTCGCGTCAAACTTTCAAGTAGTGTGATGTGAGTACAGCCTTAGGGCCGGGTTCCACTGCGGCTCCGCTGCTCCGCTGCTCGTCTTTCGCGGCTTGAAACGTCATCATTACCATAGTGACCGCGGCTCGAGCTGGAGCAGCGAGGCCGCGGCTCACCGCGAGCTTTTGCTACGATTCTTGACCAAAAACTGCGAGCCGCGGTCGCGGCTCGACCTGTTTCCCGTACTTTGCATTGTTTCGTACGCCAGAATTTTAAAATTCAAAAATTAATTCGTTGCGCAGGCCAGAACACGAGAATTTTTTTGATTTCGCGCGCGCAGGCAGGTGAAACGTCATCAAAAAGTGTAGACCACGACCGCGGTACCGCGAATGGCGAGTGTCAATGGAACCGCGCTGCTCCGCTGCATGCAGCCAAGTGCCGCGGAGCAGCGGAGCCGCGGAGCCGCAGTGGAACCCGGCCCTAAGGCCCATAAATGGCATAATACAGGTAGACTCCCTCTAATTCGAATACGGTATAATTCGAACATTCCGTGTAATTCGAACTTTTTCGTCGTACCGATCTTCTGCAAGTCACTTCAAGTCAAAATCGAATGCATAATTCGAAGTACGAAAAGTGCGCCGGTTGGATAATTCGAACCCAGTCTTCGTACAGAAGAGCTGTTTACAGTACATTGGCTATGTCCTTTGAACGCTTATTTCGAAGTGAGATTGAGTTGCTATCCTTGTAATTCGAAGTTCATTCTTTTCTCCTTCTCTAGCCAAGAGTAGCTCAAAAATCGATCGATGGTCCGCTGCAGGATCGACTATTGCGTTCAAGAAACCCACCTTCTCTCGAAATTTCTTTCAAGCCCGTGCGAGGCAAATTGCAAAGGTTTGATTGAAGACGACATCTTCCAGGTGGCTGACTCTCTTCGCGGATCTCGATGGCCTTTCTTGCCGCGCCAGCTCGTACGCGGAGATGTTGGCGCACAAAAACACTATTGTCGTAAATATTGTCTATGCCTATGCTCCACTTCCGTTCTTCAGAACGACGTGCTGCTGTCCGACGGCCTTTCATGACGCGGATTAGGCAGCGCAGTTCTTTTCCGTTGAAACTGTTTCAGGAAAGTTGCAGTGACTGACAACTTCTTCACTAGAAAATGAAGATGTCAAAATGATTTTGTGTCGATCCAGTGTTTTGATGATCCGTTTTACACGACCGCGTACCGGTACGACCACCTATGTTTCGTTGATGCAAATAAAAATGTGCAAAAAATATTCAGCATGCGATTTCAAGCATTTTGACATACATATCAGTGCATGGGGCTGCATTTGGATAATTAGAAGTTCTGGATAATTCGAAGTTAGGGCCTGGCAATTTGAGGTTCGAATTAAAGGGAGTCTACCTGTACATGTACTAGCAAGAGTAGATAAACAAGAGTGTGCAACTCGCGGATGGGTTGGCCCACGGCGGAATTTTTTGTTGACGTAATCTTTTCGACGACGCACGCGCTGCGAGCCTTTTGGAGAGGTTTCCCTCGTGCACTTAGCGGGGCTTTACACTACAAGGTCGGTGCCCAGCACGTGCTCTCACACTGCTCTGCGGCAAAGTCCGCGTTTCCCTGAAAAAAGGTGACGTCAACAAAAAATTCCGCCGTGGGCGGGGGTATCTGCAGATTGTGCGGAAGAGATCCGGAGTTGCACACTCTTGTTTATCTACTCTTGGTACCAGGGAGTAGTACAATACCGGTATTGTACTACTCCCTGCTTGGTACTAATAGCTGTCGGGAGAGCACCCATAGTGGAGTTGCACACTCTGGGGGGTTATGTACTCTTGGTATTATGGTACAGGTAGACTCCCTTTAATTCGAACCTCAAATTGCCAGGCCCTAACTTCGAATTATCCAGAACTTCTAATTATCCAAATGCAGCCCCATGCACTGATATGTATGTCAAAATGCTTGAAATCGCATGCTGAATATTTTTTGCACATTTTTATTTGCATCAACGAAACATAGGTGGTCGTACCGGTACGCGGTCGTGTAAAACGGATCATCAAAACACTGGATCGACACAAAATCATTTTGACATCTTCATTTTCTAGTGAAGAAGTTGTCAGTCACTGCAACTTTCCTGAAACAGTTTCAACGGAAAAGAACTGCGCTGCCTAATCCGCGTCATGAAAGGCCGTCGGACAGCAGCACGTCGTTCTGAAGAACGGAAGTGGAGCATAGGCATAGACAATATTTACGACAATAGTGTTTTTGTGCGCCAACATCTCCGCGTACGAGCTGGCGCGGCAAGAAAGGCCATCGAGATCCGCGAAGAGAGTCAGCCACCTGGAAGATGTCGTCTTCAATCAAACCTTTGCAATTTGCCTCGCACGGGCTTGAAAGAAATTTCGAGAGAAGGTGGGTTTCTTGAACGCAATAGTCGATCCTGCAGCGGACCATCGATCGATTTTTGAGCTACTCTTGGCTAGAGAAGGAGAAAAGAATGAACTTCGAATTACAAGGATAGCAACTCAATCTCACTTCGAAATAAGCGTTCAAAGGACATAGCCAATGTACTGTAAACAGCTCTTCTGTACGAAGACTGGGTTCGAATTATCCAACCGGCGCACTTTTCGTACTTCGAATTATGCATTCGATTTTGACTTGAAGTGACTTGCAGAAGATCGGTACGACGAAAAAGTTCGAATTACACGGAATGTTCGAATTATACCGTATTCGAATTAGAGGGAGTCTACCTGCAAGAGTAGTCTTGCCGTCTTGGTAATACTACAATGTAATACTAATGCGTACTAATAGTAATACTAGCAAACTGACTTGCATGCACGCGTGCCGATGAATGAAGAAGTCACGTAAAACGTCGATAGATCACGGGAAATGACGCCAACTCATGTGCACGGCCGTGCCACCCCACCCCGGTACCGCGCTTCACCATTGATTTATTGTGGGCATGTACAAGCTACATGTACATGCTCTGGCAACCGAAATCCGACCCCCTTGCCGGCGCGGCGCGCCCGCAAGGGGGTCGGATTTCAGTTGCCAGCACTGTATCATGCATGTTTTGTAGAGAGAGAAACGGCGAGCAGCTGTCCACGTGGCCGTAGGGCTAGTCAGGTGATCGATGTGGGTTAACCGGTTGTGAAATCAAACTGCTGTTTTCACGTTTTTCTTTCATGAAACAAACAAACAGCAAGTGGAACATTATTTCGTATTTTGTCCAAAATCTCAGGCGCTGAGGCCTGGAGAAACGTTTGTTGAGCTAGGAAAGGATCCTACAGTGCTAGACCTCATTTCTCTAAAGAGGTAGTGGTACTGTCTGGTGTCTGCAGTTGACGCCCTGTCGAGAGTTGATCGGTTTTCCATCCACAACGATAGAGAGTGAATCTGAATTTTTTTGGTGATGTGAAGTTATTAATTGGTGGACCAGCACTGAAGTATAATACTGTACAAGTTGCCAACCTTGCCATCATCAGGGTCCAAGGCTAAGGGATAGCATGGCTCAGCTACTTCTGCTGGTATGGAAGAACTTTGTGCAGCAGAAGCGCAAGCCAGTCACCACTGTTCTGCAGATAGTATTTCCTATCCTGTTCATGGTGGTAATGGCGTTGCTCCGGACTACTAGCAAAGATGAATACAAGTGTGTAGAGACCGATGGTGAGCCAGGATGCCAGTGGAAACCTTTCAGTGTCACAAATCCGTCGATTCCCCTGGCTCTCGTCATTGAACGCACGTACAAGAAGAACATGAGCGAGTTAATCCCGGACATTATCGAAGGCAAAGTGAAGCTAAAGATAGGTTATTCACCCAACGCATCAGAGTTTGTCAACTCAGCCATGAGCAATGCACGGGGCTTTATTGACCAGTACGTACCGGAAGAGTTTAAGCAATTTTCCAGCGTGCTCGCCTTTGAAGGGTTCGCGACGGAGACAGAGATGGTGGCTGCCATAATGCAGGAAGCCAACGATGATGCGATTAAACACAAACAGTTTTTCGGTTCGGTGGCGTTTGATCCAGCCATTGGGCATGCTAGCAGCAACCTTGACTACGCGATTCGCATGGGATCAGATCCTCTCGTTCACTTTGAACAGAGTGATAGTGACCCTCAGCAAGGTGGGCGTAAGAACTGGCTGACGGACTTGACATTCCCAATCTTCATTCTGCAAGGACCACGTGCAATTAACAATTCGTTCGGTGGTGAGCCGTACTACTACGAGAACTTTTACCTCAACCTGCAGCACTCCATCAATGCCGGCCTCGTGCACACCCTTAGGAATGGCTCGACGTCCGAGCCGCTGCCTGATGTGCAGATGCGACGATTTCCGTTCCCGGAGTTTTTGGAGAACCGTTTTATCAGCGCCGTTCAGTTTGGTCTGCCGCTGCTCGTCTTTCTGGCCTACATTCTAACTGCGTTGGTTCTTGTCAGGGATATTGTACGCGAGAAGGAGCGTCGACTCAAGGTAATTTTCTGCCTGCCGGGTTGTAGGCAGAGCGACGTAGCGTGGCGCTGTGTGTGCCCCCTTCAAAACTCTGGCCGCTCCCTTTCACAATCAGCGGTGTTACTACGCAGGATACATTGCATGCATGCAGGCACTACAGACTAGACTCCTGTGCTGGTTCATTGGTACAGTTGAGAGCAGAAATGGCAGTAGGCCCAGATTACCGGGATGTAGTCCATATGCTGAGCGATGCAGATTTGCACACCTATGCACTAACTAAACCCAGTTGCCCCTCTTCGATTTTGAACTGGCTATGTTCCTGACCTCAGCTTTCCTTTCAACCTATCTGTATGCAATTTAGTTAGGTGATACTAGTATACCGGTAGTTGATAGTGCCGTTCTGGTTTTTGGGTTTGATCGTGTCTTTTGTTTTCCTGGTATCACCTTTGAAATATGCACGGTTTTATGGGGATTGTGAGTTGTGTATTGATATTTAGGATTTGATTGGTGCTGTGTATATTGTATCTGCTCAAAGTCCGGAGTACGTACTTCAAGTCTTGGCACTATGTAGCTCTAGCATTGTGTTATTCCATGTTCTTGTGTGTTTGTGTGCAGGAATCCATGAAGATGATGGGCCTGTCCAATTTACTGCACTGGACGGCATGGTTCATCAACTACTTTTTCACTCTGCTCATCAGCATCATAGCCATGGTCCTGATACTGAAGTATGGCCGTGTGCTGGAGTACAGCAATCCGCTGATCGTGCTCCTCTTCTTCATCTGCCATGCCTGGTCCACCATCATGTTCTGTTTCTTTGTCAGCACCCTGTTTCAGCGTGCGGTGTGGGGCGCAGCTGGCGGTGGCATCTTCTGGTTCCTCTCCTACACGCCTTACTTCTTTGTCCAGCAGCAGTACGACACGCTCAGCTTTGGTGCCAAAGTCGGCACTGGCACGTTCTTCAACGTGGCCATGGCGTACGGTGCCCAGCTCATTGGCAACTTTGAAGGCCAGGGCTCCGGTGTCCAGTGGAGCAATCTCAACGTGGGAACCAGTGTGGATGACTCATTCACGTTTGCCACTGTGCTCGGCTTGCTGGTGTTTGATGGTTTTCTGTACGGCCTGTTGGCATGGTACATTGAAGGTGTGTATCCCGGTCAGTTTGGATTGCCGCTGCCCTTCTACTTTCCATTCATGGTAAGTGTTCAACGTTCAACTACACCCACACCCATGCTCGCACACGCACACACACACACACACACACACACACACACACACACACACACACACACACACACACACACACACACACACACACACTACTACTACTACTACTACTACTATGTACAGCTACCCTATCGGGCCACGCCGCTCCCAGAAGCGGGAGACAACGACAAGAAGAGAGAAGAGAAGAGAGAGAAATCGCAAAGTCAACAATATTTGGCATGGCGTTGCAAGTCCTGTGGCCTTGAGAACCGTCTTTCGCAATGCTCGCATTCATGACGGCAGTTGTTCCTGGCTGCACGTGACATCCGTTTCGCACGATCACAGTGATGACGGCTCAAACCAGAACGAGAGCGGAAAGAGCGGCGACAAACATCACATCGCAAAGAACACACACACACACACACACACACCGGTTGGGTCAGGGGCATTTTCTATTTTTTTAGTATGTTCATGAACATGGTGCAACCATCAGACAATGTGGGGAATGCTGGTGATCATGCCGGTATGTGTGCCAGGAAATAAGGGTATTATAGCACATCAGCTTCTGAAGAGTTGTGCGTGTGCCGTCATGTGTTTTCCCAGGTCGCCTCATTGACTTTTGCTTGTTTGTCTGGCTGGTTGTGTGTTGAACATTCACTTTGTGATGTTTGCTTACAGCCCTCCTACTGGTGCAGTCCTACCAGCAAAATCACGGACGAAGACGAAGAAACAGAGACCATGCCTTTGTCTGGCAGCCACAACAAAAATGCGGTAGGACAGCTGTCTGTCAGTGTGGACACAACTGCTGGCTGTGCTGGTTGAGTTTTGTGGTCCGTTGGCTGTATTTAGACAAAGCTGCTCATTGTGGTGCATGTTTGCTGCAGGCTGCATTGCTTCATAGTCCACACACTCACTGCTGTATGTTCACTGTTTCGCTGTTGTGTGGCTGCTGTGTGTGTGTTTGCTGTGCAGTCCAAACATCTGTTTGAGCCTGAGCCGGAGTCGCTGCCAGCTGGTGTCCGGTCGTATCGCCTGAAGAAGGTCTTCAAGACCTCGAATGGCCCACTAGTCGCAGTCAATGGTGTGTCACTCAACATGTAAGTGTTGTGATATTGAGTGATCGGATTGCTAAGTTCATTATTGTTGCTGTCAGTACAGTGTACAGCTGCACTGGGGAGCATCTTTGTAGCCCTGATTGCAGAGCGTGATTGCTCAGATGTGCCTGCAACAGACACACTTCAGGTTTGCAGTGTCTGCTCTAGGATTTCAAACCAACCGGGTACACGTGTACCTGGCACAACTCTTCCAACCGGGTCAAAGGTGGGTCCGTTCAAGTGCAGCTACTGCATGTACCGTAAAGTACCGCCAGAGCGCCCCACCATCTCATCCTTTCGTGGTCGTATTGTGGAGGTGGTCTGCTGTCTGTAGGTCATACGACATGAGCCTTGTACACAGATTGCACGTTTTGCAGTCAATCCGTACCTTCAAGCGGATACAAGCTCCACACAAAAACCTGCCAAGTGTGACCTTAGTACACTAAGATTCTCACATCGTACACACTTCGTTGCACTCTGCCATACGATTTTCCTTTCTCTGGCTGTAAAATCAAGGTGGGGCGCTCTCGCGAGACGGGGCGCTCTGGCGGTACTTTACGGTACATGTACATCAGGGAGCTGTACATAATAGGACTCCCTGCTGTACATAATAGTACTCCCTGCTGTACATAATAGGACTCCCTGCTGTACATAATAGTACTCCCTGCTGTACATAATAGGACTCCCTGCTGTACATAATAGTACTCCCTGCTGTACATAATAGGACTCCCTGCTGTACATAATAGGACTCCCTGCTGTACATAATAGTACTCCCTGCTGTACATAATAGGACTCCCTGCTGTACATAATAGTACTCCCTGCTGTACATAATAGGACTCCCTGCTGTACATAATAGGACTCCCTGCTGTACATAATAGTACTCCCTGCTGTACATAATAGGACTCCCTGCTGTACATAATAGGACTCCCTGCTGTACATAATAGGACTCCCTGCTGTACATAATAGGACTCCCTGCTGTACATAATAGGACTCCCTGCTGTACATAATAGGACTCCCTGCTGTACATAATAGGACTCCCTGGTGTACATAATAGGACTCCCTGCTGTACATAATAGGACTCCCTGCTGTACATAATAGGACTCCCTGCTGTACATAATAGGACTCCCTGGTGTTCATAATAGTACTCCCTGGTGTACATAATAGGACTCCCTGCTGTACATAATAGGACTCCCTGGTGTGTATTCCCAACAGGGTCACAGATGACCCGGTGTTCTTTTTCCAAACGGGTCCAAGTACCTTCCAACCGGGTTGCTGACCCGGCTGACCCGGCTCTGGAGCAGACACTGATTTGCCAAAGCCCATGTTATTGTAAGTGGGCATTGCCGGAGTTTGTACATCAAAAAGAATAACAGAATGTATGCTTGACTGTGTTCTGATATGTTCTATTGTTGGTGCAACTGGTGCTTTTGCTTTTGTTGTTGCTGCTGCTGCCGTTGCTATTGCTGATGATGCTTATGATGCTGTGGTGACGGTGGTTGTCGGTTGTTACCCTCATGTTTGGTGCGATTGTTGTAGGTATGAGGGTCAAGTGACTGTGTTGCTCGGCCACAATGGTGCTGGCAAGACCACCTTCATCTCCACGCTGACTGGGCTGTTTCCTCCGACCAGCGGCTCTGCCTATGTCAACAATTGCAGCATTCTCAATAACATCAGCGGTGTTCGTGACAGTCTTGGCATATGCCCGCAGGTGAGGCATGGCGGCAGTGTGTTCGAAATATACAAGTAGGAGTTCTAACTATTTCACTGACATATTCTTCTTGTGGCAGATTGTGTCTACAGCCAACACACTGCTCGCTGGGCTCTGGGTTTCATGTTGGTGTCTCTTTTGTGAATTTTCAGTTCCTCCTACTTGGGATCTGGTCTGGTCATATTTTATCATTGGTGTTCGTTGTAATCGATTCCCTCTGTTTTTACCGCCACTGCTGCTGCTGCTGTTGTTGTTGTTGTTGTTGTTGTTGTTGTTGTTGTTGTTGTATTTTTGAATTTTGAATTATTTATTCTCACGATGGCACCATCGCCAATAAGAGATGTTGTTGTTGTTGTTGTCGTCGTTGCCGTTGCCGTTGTTGTTGCCGGCGTTGTTGTTGTCACTGTTGCCTCTGTACAGCACGACATCCTGTTTGACAACCTCACCGTGCAGGAGCATTTGGAATTCTATGCCCAGCTGAAGGGCTGCAAGCGCTCGGTGGTCAAGGCCGAAGTTGACAAAATGCTGGCCGCTCTGAAGTTCACGCAGTTCAGAACACGCCGAGCCAAGGAGCTCTCCGGTGGCATGAAGAGAAAGCTGTCAGTGGGAATTGCTCTTGTCGGCGGCTCTAAGGTACGCCATCCGTGTTGTGTACAGTCAACCAACGGTATTCCGGTTTGCAAATGTAGTGTTTGGAATGCTCTGCGAATGTGCAATTCCAGCACGGATTCCAATGCATATGTATTGGTTAACATATCTATTATCTAGTGCATTCGTTTTCCAGATGTCGAAACTACGTCTCGAAATTGTGGGATCGAAAATGATGAAGTGAGTGACAAGTTGCAAAGGGAGTGTGCTCAGCTGGGAGTGTGCTCAGCTGGGAGTGTGCTCAGCTGGGAGTGTGCTCAGCTGGGAGTGTGCTCAGCTGGCATTATTTGAAAGTCCTGCCAGGCTGTACAGTCCACCTGGCTAAGAACGACCTTCGGTTGGACATGAGCAAAGTGTTGTTTTCACGAGTTGTCGTTGTCAGTGAGGTTGAAAGTATGCAGTCAACTGGTCACTGAATATTGAATATTGTGTTATTTGCGAGTTGTTGTTATACCCGAGTTGTCGTTATTCACAAGATTCACTGTTGCTGTTGAGCAGTTCCTAAACGGCATACTGTGTGTGAGGCACAAAGGTGCTGCTGAGCAGTTCCTAAGCGGCATACTATGTGTGAGGCACAAAGGTGCTGTTGAGCAGTTCCTAAGCGGCATACTATGTGTGAGGCACAAAGGTGCTATTGAGCAGTTCCTAAACGGCATACTGTGTGTGAGGCACAAAGGTGCTAGTATTGAGCAGTTCCTAAACGGCATACTGTGTGTGAGGCACAAAGGTGCTATTGAGCAGTTCCCAGACGGCGTACATGTACTGTGCATGAGACACATAGGCATTGGCTGGTCTTCTTTTCGACTTACTTCTTGCATCTTCTTTGTTTGTTTGTTCACAGGTAGTAATTCTTGACGAGCCTACATCCGGCATGGACCCTGCTGCTCGGCGTGCCACCTGGGATTTGATCAATCAGTTCAAGGAGGACCGCACTATCCTTCTTACCACCCACTTCATGGACGAGGCAGACCTTCTCGGTGATCGCATTGCCATCATGTCGTCAGGAAATCTCAAGTAGGTGTTTCTAGTTGTGCTGAACTTCTGAGTAAGAGTGTTTATAGACTTTTCTTCATCTGGTCGATTGTGTCTTTCTGTGACTCCCGTGCTGTGCACTGTATTGTATGTGCTGCCTTTTTGGCTTCTTTTTCTGCTCAAACTACTCTGTTCATGACGTGCGTTGTTTACTTGCGTGCCAGATGTTGCGGCAGTTCCCTGTTCCTGAAGTCACGCTACGGCGTTGGCTATCATATCATCATGGTGCGCGAGGAAGGCTGCGACATTGAGCGTGTCGTCAGCATGGTGAAATCTCACGTGCCCGAAGCCACCGTGGAGAGTACGTCTGGCGCGGAACTGTCCCTCATCTTGCCCAAGGAGTCTGCCAGTGCCTTTCCAGCAATGTTCAATGAGCTCCAGGTAAGGGAATAAAGGTAGTGTGTGGGTATACGCACTCACTCAAGTACTACTAGTACTAGTACATGTGCTATTGTACTTGTGTTGGGGTGACTTGAGGATCAGTTTGACATGACACTAGCCACGGCTGTGTGCTTTGCTGTTGATACCCCCTCCTCCCCCCCCCCCCCCCCCCACACACACACGCACACACACACACACACACACACACACACACACACACACACGCCTTTTCCTCTCCCTCCTTACTTACACTTGATGTAGTTGTTTATGGAGTGGGAGCAGTGTGTCAACAGTCTTCTGAAATGGTTTGCTGCATTCCCTGCTTGCTGCCCAGGCTAATAGTACGGAGCTGGGTATCAGCAGCTACGGTGTTTCAGTTACCACTATGGAGGAGGTCTTTATCAAGGCTGGCGAGGAAGGTGACTCGTTGGTGGCTGGTGATGGTGCTGCCGCCTCTGCTGATCATTTACCTGATGGAAGCTCCTCATCATCCAGTACTGATGTGTATGGCTCTACGGAAACCAATCAAGTCACATTCCGACGTGGTGGCGGTGGAACGCGTGCTTCCTACCAGCTACTGCACAACGAAACACACGTTGATGTGGTGAGTATGACCATACGTGTGTGTGTGTGTGTGTGTGTGTGTGTGCGCGTGTGTGTGTGTGTACGTGTGTGTGCCTGACTTTTCTTTCATTCTTCTCGGTGGCTACCAACAGCCAGTGCATGCCGGAGTATGTGGTGTGATGTGTGCGCGGGAAAAAAATGAAAAAGACCAAAAAGTAGGGATTCACTGGCCAGAAAAAGCCACTTCATAGCTGTGTGGTGTAGACCAGCCTGAATACTGGCGGTCAATTCTTCAGCCTTGCAAGCTGTTGAATGGTGTAATCCCAGCACAAGTTGCTATGGCTTCTGCTGTAGCATCGCTATCATCCCCTCCGGCGATGGGCGTCAAAAGATGTGTGTGTGTGTGTGTGTGTGTGCGTGCGTGTGCACAGTGTGTGTGTGTGTGTGTGTGTGTGTGTGTGTGTGTGTGTGTGTGTGTGTGTGTGTGTGTGTGTGCGCGCAGTCTGTGCACAGTGTGTGCAGTGTACATATGTCGAGTTAATGTTCATCGAATCTATATACATCTCGTGCATGAATGCTGCAAGTACATGTAGTTGTAATACTATGTCTCTGATCGCTACTTGTACTTGGCTGTAATGCAGTTCAGGAAGTACATGTACTGGGAAGAGCCTGCCAAAACAGTGCGGAACGTGTTTCTATGACTACAAGCCGTATGAGTTATTTATGCTAGTAGATGTAAGTGCACGAAAGATAGGATGGGGAAGTATCTGAAGACGAAATCGTATGGAGTCTCGCCAACCAGATTTGAATCATGAATCTTTGTTCTAGATCAACAAAGCTCCAACCACTCAGCTGTCGAATATAGTGTGGTTGTCATTAATTTTACCATTGGATTTCATTTTGCTGGAGACTGCAAGTCTATATCTTGATCTGTATGCTATGTATGTGTGTTCTACCCTGACTGCATGCCTGCCTAGTGCTCATGGATATCTACTGCTGCAATAGTAGATGTGGTGTTTCACTGAGGCCAAGATCACGTCATCACGCAATGTTTGGTTTTTGCTGCTGCTGCTGCTGTGTTGTGCTCGCAGAACGAAGGTCCACGCCGTGGCCTAACGCCGGATATGCTCAGCTCTGGCATGCAATTGCTACTTCGACAGTTCTACGCGCTGATTGTCAAGCGCATCATTCACACGATGCGCAACAAGTCTGGCGCTTTCACGCAGCTCTTCTGGCCGGGACTGTTCACTCTGTTTGGACTGATCGCTATCAAGACCATCCCCGTGCCCAAAGACTCGCCGTCGCGCCTTACCTCCTATTCCTACTACGGCTCATCTTCCATCTACTACAACGACGTCGGCGGCCCGTCGACACCTTACTCGCAGGCATTTGCCGGCCAGTTTGCCAACACATCCTATGTGCAAGTGCAAGGTACGTCGGAGACCATGGGCAACTGGACAGAGTTTGGCGACTACCTGCGCAACGCAACCGACTCCGATGGACAGAACAACATTGCCAACTTCAATAAGCATCACCTGACGGGCGCATTCTTTCAGGAAGACCTCATCACGGTGTACTTCAACAACATCGCTTTCCATGCCATTTCCGAGTCGCTGGCAGCCGTTGGCAATGGCTTGTTGCAGCGTGAATTCCCGGGCAAGAAGATCTCAGTGACCAATCACCCCCTGCCAAGAACGGCCAAGGAGGAAGTTGATCAGCTACGACTGTAAGTCCTGTACAGGCTGCAGTTACTTGTACGGTGTACAGTGGACTGTACTTATATAAAGAACTACTGTAGCGTGCGGTGAATTTTGTGGTGTAGCGAACCGTTGTCCATGTCCCTGTTTGAACCCACCCAAAATAGACTCTTGGTAGCAAACTGTTTTATATTATTATAATGAACCGTCTCTTGTAGGAGAGCACGTAAATCAAGCGTACTCGTACAGTTGCGGGTCCAATGCCAGGTATGATGCGTTGCTTGTACAGTGTGAGTTCATTTCATTTCCTGTTGGAATTAAGAAAGACCTTTGGCTATAAAGAACTAATTCTCCTGCACATTGGTGACATGTGTTCGTTATATCCGGAGTCCGCTGTGCTGTACTTGTACTTGCATTTACCTTGGGAGTAGCAGTCTATGTGTGATGTCTAATTCCGTAGCATGCCTTCTACCCAGTAGATATTGTTTACTCTTTCTGTTTTCCATCTTCACTATCTGCTTTAGGTTCCTTGTTTTCCAAAGTGCTATCTTGTGTATGTGTGTGCAGTATGCTGCACTTCAAGTTTGTGCATTTGATTTGGTGTGTTTTAGTGCATTTTGACTTCCCAATCTCCTTTCTTCTGTGTCAATATTTTCTTCTTCTTCTGTTTGTTTGTTTGTTTGTTTTTGTCCCATGCACAGCGATGGCAGTGGGTTTGCGCTTTCCTTCGACGTCTTGTTTGGCATGGCGTTCTTGGCATCCAGCTTTGTGCGCCTAGTCGTGGCAGAGCGTGAGAACAAGGCCAAACACGTGCAGTTCGTCAGTGGCGTCCACCCGGTCAGCTACTGGCTGTCGGCCATCGCCTGGGACTTGATCAACTACATGGCACCGGTAATAATGATCCTGGTCCTGTTTGGTGCTTTCCAAACGCCGGCGTACACCAAGGATGGCAACATCGGCCTGGTGTTCCTCTCGCTCCTGCTCTATGGATGGGCCATCATCCCACTCATGTACCTGGTCTCGTTTGCCTTCAGCAAACCTGCATCGGCATTTATTCTGCTCACGCTGTTCAACATTGTGACTGGAGAGGTGGCCATTATTGTCATCTTCATTCTGGATATTCTCAAGGAGGCTGCCACTGCCAACGCCCTCAAGTGGGTCTTCCTCTTCTTGCCGAACTTCTGCCTCGGACAGGTATGCTAGCAGCAATGAGCAAGCATGCACTGGCTTACGTACTGCGGCACATGATTCGGAGAGAGAGAGAGAGAGAGAGTGTGTGTGTGTGTGTGTGTGTGTGTGTGTGTGTGTGTGTGTGTGTGTGTGTGTGTGTGTGTGTGTGTGTGTGTGTGTGTGTGTGTGTGTGTGTGCATGCGTGTGTGTGTGCGTACATGCGTGGGGGGGGGGGGGGCATGCACACGTACATTCCTGCGTAGTGTACTCCTTTACTAGACATTAGTGCTGCCATGATCCTATCCCATGTGTACTTAAAGTACTGCTGCACACTGCTGACGGCACAAGGAAGTCATCTTGCCTTTGGCCATGCTTTGTTGTTCTTGCAGGCTCTGTCTGATCTGTATACCAATTACGCCACCTCACAATTATGCGAACAAAGTGCAATCCTCGAAGAATTTTGCATCGAACAGAAGGTCAGCTGGCAGTCCAACTATCTGTCGTTGACGCCACCTGGAATTGGTCGCTATCTGGTCTTCATGGCTGGTGAGGGTATTCTCTTCTTTCTGCTAGTTCTACTTGTGGAGTCCGACTTCAGCTCATGGATACGCACCTCTCTGGAACGCTCGGCGGCCATGGACTTATCGTCGAACGTATCGGATGAAGATGAGGATGTGCGCAGCGAGCGCCTTCGCGTGGAGAGCTTGGACAACCGTGGACGTGTCAACGCCGCCAAGGCCAACCCTGACATTCTGGTTGTGCGGGATCTGAACAAGATCTACAACCCTCTTCCTTGCATGTCGGTGAGTAATTTGTTGCAGTGATCACTGAGTTGGTGCTGGTGTTCTCACGGCAATGTTGAACGGACAATTCGTCCGGATATTGAATAGGCGTCCATTGATTGCCAACATCACCCTGAGCTCGAATTCGGAAGCACTTTTTGCTTTGCATTGAGTGAAACCTGCACTTGTCTTTCAGGGTGTGTTGGTTTCCATGCTAAATTGCCCTGTTGATGACATCACTATGACATCACTATGACATCACTAGTACAGTACTTACAGTACTTGTCCGTATGCATGTACATGTACATGTGCATGTACACAGAGAACCAATGGCAACGTTGGTTGAAGTTGAAGTTGGGGAAACCCTCCCTCTGGACCAACGTGACCAGAATGACGTTCCGATAGCTTAGAGGTGGCACGTTCATTGCAATTTGGGAGGAACGAGTGTAGTGCGGTGTCAGGGACCCGGTTCTTCAAACTACTCCACATTACCTGTGTGTAGACGCTGTACTAACATTAACGAGTCCAATAATGACTTTACCAGGAAGACGTTTTATCAGAGAAACACCCTGAACATGATTGTTCCACTCGATGCAGAGCAACGAGGCCTGTTGGATTCCGGTTCAGGGTGCTGGCCATGGGTGGACCCCTATTTAGTTTTTGGGTACTGTCCATATCATACTGACCAACCACCACAATCTCAATCCCTTGACAAGACATGCAGAATCCCTGGATTTCTCTCAAAATCCCTGGATGGCACAAAAAAAGGTGAAAAAGAGCATTTCCCGCCAAAAAAACGTTCGACTCTGCAGCTGTGCGTACAGACCAGGGAGTCGTCAAATACCATAATTTGACGACTCCCTGGTACAGACCCTAGGCTGTGTGATCAGTCGGCGCCCGCCTGTCTTTGTCAGTGCAGATCTTGCAGGCATGGTCAGGTCTTCCAACGAATCAAAGACCTGTGCACAGTTCGAAGTGAGAATGAGCACCGTACATACCGGCTTTGAAAAACGTTCAAAAAACTGGGACATTCGGGCAGAAACCATGGAGTTTTCAGGAAAATCCTGTATCAGACAAAACTTTGGTTTTTCCGGGAGTTTGCTTGAAATCCCCGGGACCCCGGGAGGAGTGTTGATTTTCCGGGATTTTCCCGGGGAAAACGGGAGGGTTGGCCAGTATGCCATATGAGTCTTGTAAGTCTATACATGTACTTACAGCTGGTATGGTGTCATATTTTGTCATCTACTGATTGTTAGCCTCCACTGCTTCATTCATTTATTCGGATATAATATTTTTATAAGATTATTCCCCAAGATTAAGACTTTTAAAGTACTTCGAAGTAGATAAGTGAACTTTTTTTTTAGCAATGGTAGAAAAGAAAGGAAAATCCGGATATTGTGTGTGTGTGCGTGCGTGCGTGCGTGAGAGAGAGAGAGAGAGAGAGAGAGAGAGAGAGAGAGGGAGAGGGAGAGGGAGAGGGAGAGGGAGAGGGAGAGGGAGAGGGAGAGGGGGAGGGAGAGAGAGAGATGCTGATCATGAGGGAGAGGGAGGGAGAGAGAGGGAGGGAGAGGGAGAGGGGGAGGGAGAGAGAGAGAGAGAGATGCTGATCTTATAATGTAAAGCTGTAAATAATTATCCACTGTGTCCTATGAACCTTTGTGTGTGTGTATGCGTGCAGGGTTCATCAGCGCATGCTGTCCAGGGTATCTCCGTCGGTGTTCCGACGCGCGAATGCTTTGGTCTCCTGGGAGTGAACGGTGCTGGCAAAACTACAACGTTCGGCATGTTGACCGGTGACATTCCTGTCTCGGCTGGAAATGCCTACCTTGATGGACACAGTATAGTGAAGGACCAGCAGATGGTATGTTTGTGTGTGTGTGTGTGCGTGCGTGTGTGCGTGTGCGTGCGTGCGTGCGTGTGCGTGTGTGCAACTGTGCATGACTTTTTTGTTATTGTGTATGTGCATGTGTGTGTACGTGTACATATGTATCTGTTAGTCTTGGTCAAAGGTGAGCAGCTTTTCATATTCTTCTCTGGTTGACAAATTCTCCCTACTCTCCACATCCACCATGCTATGTGTGATGTGATGATCTGAATTGCATCCATGGTCACTTGTGATCATTTTCAACAATATGGAGTTGCCAAACACGAGTTGTCATTCGGAATATGCATACCGAGTACAAGTACAACTTAGTACAAGCAAGGGAATGCTTGCACTAATGGAATATGTGTGATAGCAGACCGGTTACCATAGCTCTCTCTCTCTCTCTCTCTCTCTCTCTCTCTCTCTCTCTACCTCTCTCTCTCTCTCTCTCTCTCTCTCTCTCCCTGGTCGTCTTACCTCACACTAATCTTTGGAGGGATATTGTTTGTTTGTTTTTGTTTTTCAGGTACGTCAGCGTATTGGCTACTGTCCCCAAGTCAACGGTCTGATTGATCTGCTCACTGGCCGAGAACTTCTCACCATGTTTGCTCGTCTTCGTGGTGTTCCCGAGCGCCTCATTCCTGGTGCTGTTCAGAAGCTCATTGAGAGCCTGCTGCTGCAGAAACATGCAGATCGGCCATGTGGCACGTATAGGTATGTGTGTGTCTGTGTGTATGTGTGTGTGTGTGTCTGTGTGTGCGTGTCTGTGTGTGCGTGTGCGTGTGTGTATGTGTCTGTGTGTGTATGTGTCTGTGTTTGTCTGTGTTTGTCTGTGTGTGCGTGCGTGTACGTGTGTGTGCGCATGTGTGTATGTGTCTGTGCGTGCGCGTATGTGCACATGTGTACGTGTATTTCACTATGTAGCAGCATTCTAGTGTGCGCATCTTGAGACAGCAGTGTAGGCAACTGTGTTGTGCATGTTCAAAATTACTGGTGTATATTCTGCAGCACCTGCTCTCTCGTGATCCGATCTCATTTTTGGTTCTTTCTCCAGTCAGGCCATAAGGCCAGTCGCCACTGTCACCCTTTAATGTTGCTGCTGTTGCTGCTATTGCTGCTGTTGCTGGTACTCCTCTCTCACTGCTTGCCGTACAGTGGTGGTAACAAGCGTAAGCTGTGCACAGCCATCGCACTGGTGGGTGACCCACCCGTGGTCTACCTGGACGAGCCCACCACCGGCATGGACCCGGTGGCCCGGCGCCAGCTGTGGCAGGCGCTGTGCCGCGAGCGTGAGCAGGGCTGCTGCGTGGTGATCACGTCGCACAGCATGGAGGAGTGCGAGGCGTTGTGCACGCGCCTTGCCATCATGGTCAGCGGGCGATTCCGCTGCCTGGGCAGTCCGCAGCATCTCAAGAACCGCTTTGGCGACGGCTACACGGTCAGCGCCCGCCTACGAGAGGGTGTTGCCACCGACGACTTCAAGTCCTTCATGGTCTCCACTTTCCCCGACTGCAATCTCAAGGAGGAGCACTTCGGCCAGGTCACGTATCAGGTAAGACCAACTTGTAGGATACTACCCTGCTGCTGCTGCTGCTGCTGCTGTTCATCAGTGCATACATGGACAGGTGATGATGCTGCTGTTCATCAGTGCATACCGTACTCACTCGATTAGAAGCCGGGGGCTACTATTTTTTCAATACCAATTTTGAGGAGGCTTCTATTCAAGAGGGGCTTTTATTGTTTCATTCCATACTGGTGTTCCAATCGAATCTCTAAAACATTCATATTCACAGCAACTCGGCCCCGAGTTAGTTTGCACACACTACATCGACCAGGACTTGTACCAATAGGAACATGCACGAGATGTTTTTTGCAGACTTGACCTTCATACATGGCACTACCTGGTCACCCCATGCTTTGCGAATAGTAGTCCGGGCTTCTATTCGAGAGGGGCTTGTATTTTTTCAAACAGTCCTTGTAGGGGGCTTTTATTCGAGAGGGGCTTCTAATCAAGTGAGTACGGTACATGCACAGGTGATGACGCTGCTGTTCATCAGTGCATCTGTACAGGTGATGATGCTGCTGTTCACCAGTCACTAAGTGCAGTGGTGTTGCTCTCGACTGTGTGTCATACACCGTACCAGTGTCTGCTCCAGGGCCAGGTCAGCCGGTTTAGGGGTACTTCGACCCGTTTGAAAAAGAATACCGGGTCACTTCTGGCCTGGTTGAGAGTATACATGTGGATTACTTTTTCTTTTTTTTTAATACTTCAAGGGGTTACTCACTTACAGAACTCAGGCACGTGCAGGCGTGCGAGGACAGAGTGCCTAGTTCGTATTGTTCATACAAGTACATTCAGTAGCTGCAGTGGAACTTTCCCGGCTCTGACCCGGTTGCAGGAGTTGCGCCAGGTACATGTGTACCCGGTCGGTTTGAATTCTAGAACAGACACTGAGTAGATCCAGTAGTGTAGCTAATCATTTCTTTTCTAAGCTACAGTCAACTTCCCTTATAACGACACTCGGCGGGGCATCAGAAAAGTGTCGTTATTAGAGAGGTTCTGCAAAACGAAAATGTGTACGAACTTTCGCTCTACGTCACGAAGTGAGAAACTTCGCACGAACTTTCGCAACTTTGGACGCGAAACTTGCAGGGAACGCGAAATGAACTTTCGTAGGAAGTTTCGTGAGATTGGGTCATGTCGTACGTGCACTTGGCGCGTAATGGCGCGTGCAAACTACGAAAATGTGCAGAACACAAAGTTCGTGCGAAAATTCGTACACACTTTCGCAAGGCCTGTCGCGAAACTTCGTTCGAACTTTCGTTGTGCAGAACCTCTCTATTCCTAGTCGTTATACCCGAAGTCTCATTCTATGTGTCACAGTTGGATGGGACTTTGCTCTGGGCATGAAAATTATGTCGTTATTCGCGAATTGTCGTTATATCCGCAGTCGTTATTAGCGAAGTTGACTGTATGCGAAAGATGTTACGTAGTAGCATCTGGCGCTAGCCAGGGTCCTCCACGCTTTATTTAGTATCTGTGTGTGTGTGTGTGTGTGTGTGTGTGTGTGTGTGTGTGTGTGTGTGTGTGTGTGTGTGTGTGTGTGCACGTGTGTGTGTGCACGTGTGTGTGTGCGTGCGTGTGTGGGTATGTCCACATGTCGTGTGCATTGTTTGAATGTCACATGACTGATCGCGTGAGTGAGTGGCATGTAGTTTGACAGATACAGGATACCATACGGTTTGAATAACACGTCACGTGTGCTTTTGTCATTTGTGTGTGTGTGTTACACCCCTTCTGTTCATCTGTTTAGGTTCGCAACTCTACGCTGGCCGACATTTTCGAAGTGGTGGAAAATCACAAGGACCAGTTCAGCGTGGAGGACTACTCCGTGTCTCAGACCACCCTGGAGCAGGTGTTCCTACTCTTTGCGCGGCCTGATATCGACAAGAACGTGCAGGATTGGATGCACTAGCACGGTGCAACCTGCAGGCCACAGCCGCTTTGATGAATAGCCATTGCAAGTTGATCGCATGATTTTGCTGCCAGTGCAGCGGAGACGTCGCCACACCAGTGCTGCCTGAGATTGCATGTAGATTGTAATGCTTTAGCTGGTCTTAGCTTGGGTGTACAGGCACTGCAGGCAGTGCTGGCCTTTGTGTGTAGCAAGAATGATCATTGTCATCAGCATAGCCTTCCACTCTGCCTCTTTCCTTCCTGCATTGCTGAGACAAGTCAGCGGGCCCTCTGTTCTCTGTATTTGCCTCTCTACCACGGATATTTATGCTCGACAATTGTGTTCGTACCTTTCTCCGCACAGGTTTGTTTTCCCTTTACCACATGTTGTCTTCTCATTTGACTTCCTTCTTTTCTTTTTCCACCTAGGTGTGACATGTACCAGTTATGTGGTATGTTGACGTTTCTTCTCTGTGCGTTTGAACTGCATTCTCTTTTTTCCCTGCAAGCTTTTTCTGGATGTGACCATGTGACAATTCCTGTTTATACCATTTGAAAGAAATGATACCCAAGCATCGATGAATTTTTATCAGGGAGTAGTAAAATATTCTACTCCCTGACTTTTTATGGTAAATTTGATTTTCTACTACTGAAATTTTGTTTCTGCAGAGTTGTTTTATCCAGCTTTATTCTAGATTGAATATTCTGCTACGCATTCTCTCTTTTTTCTTCCCATTCACGACTTATTCTGTTTTGTGCAGACGTTGTGCGTCTTGTTTCTTGTTAGGTTGCTGCCCGTTTTGCTCTATCTAGATACAGATGGCACGTTGTCGTTGTCGCAGCCTATGATGCTATCAGCTAGTCACTAGCATTGTGTTTCCCAGCATGCGATCGTCTCACACAGCAGTACAGGCTCTGATTCATCACAATCAATGCTGTGCTTGGATTTTTTTAATTTTTCTTACTGTGCACACGGACAGGTTTTTTCTTCTTTTTTCATTTCTATCTTTGCATGCATCTCAATCATGTGCATGTGTATAATTCTCCTGTTACATTTCGCTTCGCCGTGACCATGGTGACTATTTTTCCACATACATACTAGTAGCTATTCTTCCCCAAAGTGCCCAAGTTTACTTCCAGGCGATGTGAGCTTTTTTGGTGAGAGACGGTGGAGGCAGGAAATTAAATAGCCGTCTTGTACAAGCCCATTCCCAGCCATTGTAACCAGGAGCGTCACACACGGTACGGTCACTACGGTATTGACCGTACCACTATTTGCCCCAAGTACCCCGCGAGTCAATAAAATGCACTGATTTGGGCTCTAAATTTCCAAAAAATTCGGCTCAGCCACCCCTCCCTCACGAGTAAATTGTACTTCAGATGGCTGTCGTGACCGTACCACACTAAAATACCTTCCGACGCCCCTGGTAACATAATATTTACTGTAATGTCGTGTATTAAAGCCGGGCTCATTCCTGTAGAAGCCGATTTCAGGGCTAGGCTTATACTCACATCAGGCTTCTGAGGGGCCGTTTACATGAGGAAAATAAGCCCGGGCTTATTCACCTCGGGCTTATTTTTCAACCGTTTACATGACGGTTGTACGGGGCTGAGCTCAGGTGAGTGACTGCGAGTTCTGCGCGCATTTTACTTTTCAAATCACACATGAACGCAGTGGTAAATGTTCGTGTCTGATGAAATTTGGATCAAGAAATGCCGGCTCAGGTTTCTACTGCCTTTCCAATTGTCACTTATTTTCGAGAAGGTGAAGGATGGGCTAGGACCTTCCACTGGACAAAAATCAGAAGAAAACATACCAAGAAATAAATAAAAGAGACGCACTGTCCACGCCACATTCTCTCAGGTTCACGAGGCAAAATCGAAAAATACGGAAAAACTCGCTTATAAGCCCTTCTTGACCGTTTACATGACAAAATAAGCCCTGGGGGTTGGATAAGCTCGGGGGTCAAGGGTAGGGCTAGTTCAGCTCGGGGCGAGCTGAATAAGCCCGCCTGACCATGTAAACGCGCGCTCTAAAATGACTGGGTGACTGATCAAGGCGGGCTTATCGTAAGCCTAGGGTTGAATAAGCCCGGGCTTATTTTTCTCATGTAAACGGCCCCTAAGCCTTCTATTCAAATTAATTAGGTATTTTGATGTACATGTATGTCAACATTAAAACCAGGCTTGTGTGCCGACAGTGTAGTTTTGAAAATCAGGCTTGTACACAAACAGGCTTGTAGTTGTACACAAACAGGCTTGTACACAAACAGGCTTGTACACAAACAGGCTTCTATGAGATACTGTAGAGTAGAACCCGGGTTAAGGGTCACATAGGAGCCCGGGGGGGGGGGAGGGGCACTTGGCACGTGTACATAATTGTGGGGGTCACTTGGCATGTACATTGTGCGGGTGATCCTTATACCGGGATTTAATTTCCGGCCCAAGGGGGTCCCCCGTCGGTTTCCGAGGAAGCCGTAATTTTTTTGCTCCAAACTATTTTTCCAGGGTCCATCTACTCACAAAAAGTCGTTTTGCACACCTTTTTGCCCATCCCTGTACAACTGAGTCCAGCTATGTCCGCGCAGAGTTAGGTGGATCCCTAACCCGGGTTCTACTCTACAGTCTGTTTCAAAAAGATTAGCAATCAAGTTTAGGTCTTAAAAAGTATGAAGATAAGGGAAATCTGGACAACAAAGTACATAAAACGGCTTGTTAGGGCACGGCAAATTGTTCTGTGAAGGTTTCGGAACAATTGGACCAACCGTTAAGGAGTTAGTATTTCGGCCAGGTTTCTGGCCTTTTCCCATGGTTTATAATTTGCCCTGGAAGCCAGTATCGATTTGTTATCAAAACCCACGATTTATCCCTTCCTTTTTGGCCTAGTGGTTATGAATGCTGTCTGCTGACCATGAAGTTGTGAGTTCAAATCCCAACAAATCTTCAAGTCAAACATTTTTTCTTCAATTTTTTTCATTGTTTTGGTACAAGACAAAGAAGGTGGCTGCGCCAAGCGACTTGTTGTTGGAGCTCGCGTTTCCTGCCGAACTGACTGACACTTGAATGACTGGCTCACGCCATGTGAAGTTGTGAACACACACAACACTGAAACCGTGTGAGTGAACACAGAAGTCATTGCGCTGTAGCTACGTGTTGTTGAATAAACCGGCACATCGCGATCGATCGATTTCTGTTTGAGAATTATTTATAGGCTCTTTAATTAAGACCAGGCACTACGGTATACTCTCCAACTGTTTAAAAATTGCGTTGCATTGCCTGTTACTACCATGGTAGTACAGTGCTAGCCAAAGAAATCCAACCCAATGAATAAAGTAGCGCCGTGTTAGAGTGCACAGACCAGTGTGCGTAGTGCTACGCAGACGGCGCTATTTTATTGCGCAACGTGGTCATTGGCTACCCCAGCCATGTATTGCTTGGAATAAAATAATAATAAAAATAAAAAAAATTCATGAGGTTGGATTTCTTTGGCTAGCACTGTACATGTACTCGAAAGGAATAAGCTGATACAGAAAGAGTATGGCAAATGTTGGCAAAAGTATGAATTCACTGATAGGGGATCTATGATGAGGCATAACAAATACGCATCACTTGCGCCATGGTGATAGTTTGGCAGGATAAAAAGGTATACGAATTACGAAGTCAACATTCACTTTTTCAGTATGGCAAATTCACTGAAGGAGCACAAGCCCAACATAAAGTCAAACACTGCTACAGAGCAGTATCGTTCTATTTGTAGGTATTGAGAGCATTGATTGTAACAAAACTTTAATGACAGACACTGGTCTGTGAGGGAGGGTTCCAGCCCAAAAGAGAAAGGTAAGCAAACCGATAGGGTACCAAGGAGTCAGGTGGACTACAAGAAGAAAAAAAAGGTGGCACTAACACCATCTAAAAACCATGAATATACTAAGCACTGATAACATGATAGGGTCTGTGTATTTTAAAGCCATATATTCCTCATATGTGCTTCATGTTTTCGTGGGTATTGTGCGTGGGTGGTGTGGGTCAGCGATTTCATGTACATCAACACAAGTAGATAGCTAAGTTCTGTAGAACCTGGTGAGATGCAAATGTTCATGTCCAATCGGCCTACATGTAACTGTTACACGTATTTACTAGTACTCAAAAGATCAAGTCAACAGCCTACACACACAGCAGTTGATAACTGTTCGATAATAACTTGTATGTACGGCCTCGTACAGAGGTGGAACATGGAATCCAACCCAACGAGTACAGCAGAGCCACGGTACACTATACTGTCCACTGTTCATAGCGCTGGGATTGCGCAGTCCCGGGACTGTTAGACTCTCGAGGTTGGATTTCACTTGCCAGCACTGTACTTGGGTACTTGAGTACATGGTAGTGCATGTCTGCTCATCAAGGGCTCAAGGCTTTTTTGCCCTTGTCGTACGGTCGGCCATATTTAAGACGGGAGTGTTAGCACTTCCGGTTGTACTGCCACTGCTAGCACTGGTGCCAGTACCTCCAGCAGATGCTTTTCTGCTGCTCACACCACCAGTGGCTTGCCCAGTTCCGGCTTTGCCCCCAGCAGCTTTGGCTCCAGCTTTGCCAGTAGCCACCACCTTCGATCCATCATGGGCCGCCGCATATATTGCTTTCGGTAGTGCATTGGCAGGCACCACTCCGCTTGGTATTGTTCCTTGCGCAATGCTGGACTTGAGAGTTGTGTTAACCATCGGATACAAGCTAGGTGAGGCAGGCCTTGCATTGGGAACGGCTGGGAAGAAGTAAAGCTGGACGGGACGCACACCGCAGCAACATCAGAAGCACGAGCAGAAAGTACAAATGTTTGTGTATTTCAAGGACTTGCCGTCGTGTTGTGTGCCCTATGGCTCAAGGACCAAGGTAATAATGCTTTGGCCCCATGCGTTTGCCTGTTGACAGGTTTGGGGTGGCAAAAAGACCAAGCACAACTTCTTGCAGCTGTTGTAGCTTCCGAAAGTAACGTATGTTATTCGAACTTATTTCTAACGGTTGTCAACTGAACGGATCTACTTTGAGAATACCAACGAGCGGTTGCGCGACTGAGTTGGTCGAATCACTCCCTGACCGTACCTGGACCAGTTTTGAGATTTTTTGCTTTTCCAAGTGAAAATCAACAGAGGTAATGAGCTGAAGCCCAAAGCCATATGATGCAAGAACTTTTTCCAAATGTCATGTCAGCACACGAGTTTACTTGGATCACATCGCTGAAAAAGAGTTGAGTTGCAGTGGCTGAAAATGCATAACTTACCACAAAGCCAACTGAGAGTGCTGCATGCAAGATCAAGATGGCAGAGACAGTGGGGACTGCAATCTACACAGACCAACACCAGGAAAGAAACATGAGGTCATACATGCACAAAGTGCTCGTGCACACGCATGCACGCGCACGCACGCACGCACGCACGCACACGCACACACACACCCACACCCACACACACGCGCACGTACAGACAAATGTAGCAGCAGCAGCAGGCTAGGCAAAACATGCACATGTAAGTAGAGGCTGCAAGATACACACCAGCTCTTAGAGCTCTTAGAAATTTTTTAAAATAGTATTATTTTTTGTTGTTGTAAACACAAGCCGGATCCCGCGAATATTATTATTATTAAACACAAGCCTCTTCTATGGTCTCAGAAATCTCAGGGATAATTGGAGTAAAGAATCAGGAGATCATTTCAATAGACCCATGCATTAGTACTGCATGTATTGCTTCGCAGTAGTAGACTAAAAGTGGCATACCGGTGTAAGAGACACAGCTGCGAGCGCCTCTGTGCATGGGGAAGAAGCCCCCGTGACAAGGAGTGATATGTCTGGTACATCCCGACCAAGGAGCACCTGTCGAGGCAGACGGGGTGACACTGCAGCCTGCACATAATATGTGCTGTCTCCAATAGCAATGGTTACTCTAGCTAACGGATAGTGCACCTCGTCGCCATGAGCACAGCGAATGGTGATCCGCTCCCCAGTGAGTAGGTCGGGGTGGACTAGGCTGTCGTGAATCATAGTTCGGCCGCAAGCTGTGTCCACCACGATGCGGGGTACAAATTGGCCGTTGACGACGCCAGAGACAATAAATTCAGGACAAGGATCGCTGGACGAGGGCGGGTCGGTGAGTAGGCACGTAGGGATGCACGAACCCTGGTTGGCGGCCATCTCTGCACAATAGTAGGCCTCCCCCAACAAGTCGTCCTCGGATAGGTCGACATCACCTGATGTCGGAGGATGCGTCGCAGGATCCTGCGGGGGCGTACCAGTTGGGTCAACGAGCAATGCCACCGACTCGTTGCGCTTTGGACATTTCAAAGCAATGTGCCCACGTTCGTGGCAATGGTAGCATCGCGGCAGCATTGAACCGGGACCGCGCTTGGGTGGGAGAGGTGGCCTGGTTGGAAACGTACCAGCAACCGGGCCCTTGCCAGCAGGGTCCATTTGCATCGGTGGTGCCGAGGAACCGGGGAAAGAGCCGGATCCTGGGCCCTTACTCCCAGAGTCTGTCGCCTTAGGCAAAGATGCAGTCGGGCGCCGCTGGGGACAGTCCCTGGCCAGATGGCCAGCCTGGTGGCAAGTATGGCATCGGGCATAAGCGGATGTGGTCTCCCTCGGCCCACGAGCGTCACAGTAGTCCTGTGCCAGTGATGCGGCTGCAGACAAGGACGCTGGTTTTCGCTCCTTGAGCCAGACTCTTAGCGACTGCGGCACTGCGGACAGGAACTGCTCCAGCAAGACCAGTTCGATAACGTCATCCCTGGTCGGGGCACAGCGAAACCAACGTGACCCGTGGTCTCGAATCCGGGTGGCAAGCTCGATGGCGGAGTCAGCGGGGCGCATCACCACCTCCCGGAACCGACGGCGGCTAGACTCTGTAGTCACAGCGTAGCGGAGTAAGATCTGCGCCTTTAGAAGCGGATATTCGCGAGCCTGTGTGAGTGGCAGAGAGACGTACGCCTGCAGCGCGGGACCACTGAGGCGGGGGCTCAGCAGTGCCACCCAGTGGGAACTGTTCACCTGGTACGTCTCCATCAGTCTTTCGAAGCCAGTGAGGAAGACCTCAATATCCTCAGATGGCTTCAGGTTGGGGATGGGGACCTTTGGTGGCTTACTGGTGGTATGCTCCATGGCTGAGAGCTGTGCCTGTGTCAGCTGGGTGACCAGTTGGGTGAGTAGAGACACTTGGTCCGTGGGATCAACGCCTTCACACCCAGCTGGACTCACCCAGCTGGACTCGCCAAACCAGGAGCGCCAACTGACACATCGGGCAGTGGTGCCATATGCGGGAGCGACTGCTGTGCTTGGAAGCGGGGAGACTGCTGCATTTGGCCTCGTCCGTACGCTTCCAGCGCTGGAGTGCTCGATATGGCTGTCGCAGGGTCGCTCGAGGGGCGACGAGGGACGCGTGGCCTGGGTGCCGATATGGGCCTGGGCCGTGCAGGGCCGGTGCTGCCGTGTACGGATCCGCGAACAGCGTTGGGTGGACTTTCGAATTTTATGCTGCCACTCAAATAATCTGTCCGACCCTCGGCCTCCGCGTCCTCTGCCTCCGTTTCGTATTCCGCCACGTCCTCGAAATCCGTCACAACATCGACGTGGTGTGCCAGTAGGCGTTGCACCAAATCGGCAAATCGGCTCGCGTCCCTGCCATGGGCAGATGGCGGTCCCGGCAAAATCCTCGGAGCTGCTCCTGACGAGCAAATGCTAATCGCGCCAAGTCCATGGGATTATGGCGATGCTGACTGACAGCAACAACAACAACAAAAAACCTTCCGACAAACGGAAATATTCAAGTGGGCTATCGGCGTGGCCGACGAACGGCGCGGGCGTGGATACAAGAGCCTGACGAACAATGCTCTAGATCAGTTCTGACACCATGTAAGAGACCCAGCTCACTCGACAAATCAATCTCACTCTTTTCTGGACTAACCAAGAACTGAGGGGAAAACCTCGTCGTGGCCAGCTTCATCTTTTCATAATCAAATGCACGGAGTCGTATTCGACTCCCCGCTGTGTGTAGAGTACGGTGTGGGAGGTAGAATAAGGATGTGTAGAAATGAAGTGTGTAGACTAATAGTTGTACATTATGCCTGAATAATAATAAGTAATTCGGAGCATGCAGGAAGAGTGTAAGTAATTACGTTATTGGAAGGCCAACGGGAATGGGAGAAGCAGTCTCTAAGACCATTCCCGTCACAACCGGTAACAGCGCAAGCCTAACATCTTGACCAGGCTTTTTGTTACTTTGCGAAAGGACTTGAATAAGTGACACACAGCAACATCTGCATTTCCAGCTTGGTTATATAGTAATCCCAGATCAGCGCACGCCACAAACTACAACAACAACACAACATTAGAGAGGTTCCGCACTACGTAAAGTTGAGCAACTTTACGTTAGTGGGCGGGAAAAACCCGTGAATTCGCGAGTTTGCACTCCACTTACGGAAAGTTGTCTACGGAGAGTACGTAGATAGGGCTCTGATAACGTAGCTGGTCCGTAAGTGGATTGGGGTACAAATTTATGACTCTCTCCCCAGGTCGATCTGGTCGTACACTGCCGTGTTCGGAGTTGCCAAGGGCAGCTACGTGATTTGAAAACTCCGTATGGCGGAACCCAGATGCGCATGCAGTTTACGTAAGACATTCCGTAGATCGACTACGTTTTTTACTAACGTAATTACGTTATGCGGAACCTCTCTAATACCTACAAATGCATGTACACTGTACAGTACTGAAGAGGTCACCCACCTTCTTATCTTTCTTACTAATCAACGGCCAGAAAGTTCGGAACAGCACAGCGCCTGAAGCAAGAAGAGAAAAATAGGACACCGTCCGCCAATGGAGGTCAATTCACACTCCATGATACAGATCATACCGTACAGGCATAAGAGTAGGCCTGGCAGCATCGACCCAATCAGCGTCTAGACAATTCCATTCTGTAGGCTACACAGGTAGAAGGCTACCAGCACTATGCAGTGCTGGGGTGTGCTGGGTGAGCTGACAGGTGAAACCCCAACACACATGTGTTACATAGCCATACAGCCCTGTGCGTACCGCTGTACGAGTATATGTTAGTGTGTTTGAGGGAGATAGAGGGAGAGAGAGAGAGAGAGAGAGAGAGAGAGAGAGAGAGAGAAAGAGAGAGAGGGAGAGAGAGAGAGAGAGAGAGAGAAAGAGAGAGAAAGAGAGAGAAAGAGAGAGAGAGAGAGAGAGAGAGAGAGAGAGACACACAACGACAAAAGCACCTTACCCGACAGCACCATTGAAATCATGACAAACAACCAGCGCAGGCCCTTGACAGGGACTGTGAAAAGAATCTGCAAAACAAAAATAAAATACGACACAAGTGATATAAAGTCGGCGTGGAGACAAGAAACCTAATATCGATGAAAGTAAAGTGAGCACACTCATACCACGAGAACAATGGAACACTATTTTAAAATTTGAACGTCGTTTTCATGTGATTATCATCAGAAATCGTCATCACACTGAGAGTTGGACAACAAAGGAAGATATTTATGGTACCATAAAGTGAAAATTATTAGATCTATTTAAAAACTAATACAAGAAACACTAATATTCTAAAGCTAGCACTATTGAAGGCGTTTGTAGTACCATACATATCTTTCCTTTGTAGTCTAACTCTCAGTGTGATGACGATTTCTGTTAATTATCACATGAAAACGTTGTTCAAAACTTAAAATAATGTTCCATTGTTCTCGTGGTATGATTGCGCTCACTTTACTTTCATCGATACAACTTATCATACAAGTGATAACATAACGAATATACAGACATTTACCGGCTTCACACACAATCTGGACATCAAATTTAGGAGGAATCTACTACCATGATATTTTATAATGAATTACGCCCACTCCCCCCCCCCCCCCTCGGAAAAGAAGATCATACTTAAAGTACTAGAAGTCATTTCAGTTCAGGTCACCAGCCTCTGTCACTGCCGTATTTTGCACAATAGAGTAGCCACTACAGAGTGTAGTGGAGGATGCGGACTTACCGAGCTAGGTACGAACACAGCCAGAGAGTAGCCGTACACACAGGTGAGCACGAACAGGGTGGCAGACTTGCCCTGGACACCGCGCCACCACAGCCAGGCCCACAGCAGTCCTGGTACCACCCACACGTAGCTGTAGATAGCCGTTACGGCGAATGACACTGGACAACAGCAGCAGTAGCAGCACAACCATCAGCACCAGCAGCAGCAAGCAAAGAAACGAGCAGAAACCCATCATGACAGCAAGTCTTCGGCAGGCTATAAAGCCGACCACCGGCAGGATCTTTCAAGGGCTGACTACACTACACAACTAATGATACCAAGACTGAAAAGAGTTCGCTTTGCTGCACTGTTAACGCTCAGAAAGGACAAAACAGAAATGCCCACATCATGACAGACCCATCGAGATACACACACGAGTGTCTGCATGTACATGTGTGAACATCAGGGAGTCGTAGCATCTACGGAGACTACACAGGGGCCACTGGAACATGAAACGATGCAGGTTTTGTTTCCGGGCTACCGGTTCCAGTTGCCCTTGGGGCAGGGCCGTTTCCGCATACTTGCATATGGCATCGCCGGTATGGGCTGTATTCGGGGTCAGCAGGGCAAGGCCGCGGTCACGAGTTACATAGACCACGGTAGGCCCAGACAGATTCTGCTCCGCTCGCCTCGATATGTTGCCGCAAAATGCTGCTGCGAAATCTTCGATATTTTGCCGAGCCTGGCACAAGAAACTCGATATTTTGCTCCATTTTGCTCCCGAAAAACGTGTATTTTATCCACTTCCCGTACAATCCCGTACAATGTTTCATAAAAATTGCAGGGTCGGTTTCTCAACACGGGTTTCCACGCACGTGTCCATAGTCCGCAGGCCAGGGTTGAAATTTTTCGAGATAAAAAAATCTCGCTCCCGCTCAGGGGGGACCAAGTTTGGTTGTGGCGAACCGAAAGAGGACCCCTCGGGCTACTCGAAACTACTTTTGGGTATCCCCGGAGCTGGGGCTTTCGTGCGGAGTAAGCCCTTTTGGTTCCAATTTTCGGAACGACCCCAAGTGCGCAGTTGTCGTCTCCTGCAATTTTGAGTACGCGGAGAGCCTGCTCAAATTTGAATTTCGCTTTCACGTGGCGCGGCACGTGGGGCGGCACTGCAGAACTAGAAGAAATTGAAGCAGTCGGATACAACAAAGAAAGCCGAAAAGGGCTTACTCTACACGACCAACCGATCCATGGCGACTGTTTCGGGTAGCCCAAGGAGTGCTCCTTCATCCTTGGGCAACCATACATGTCTCCCTTCGACTGAGCACGCAGGTTAGGGAAACGATAATGTTTTACTGCGCCAGATGAAGGAATCGTCGAGATAGAGAAGTTTTGGTGACTGACATAATTATAAGCATAAATTATATCTCCCAGAGGCGATGGCCTGTCGAGGGATAGAGATATGATATGGACACTGGAGTATGGAATCAGTTGATCCGAAACCCCGCCGGAACACTCGGCAATCTGTGCAGGCCCCAATTGTCGAGCCAGGCCGTCAAACCTGCATTTTCTGCGGCTCTTTGAAAAAGAAGATTCCAGGCAAAAGCACTAAGCAAACAACGTCGCTCTTGCAATCCGAGGATGGCGAGCAAACCCTTCGTGCCGCTGCCGAGATCAGGCAGGACGACAAGATCTTGATAGCAATAGGCTCGAGTTGCTTGATAGCACGCGAAGCGTACTATCATAAGTATTGCTACCGAGAATATACTCGGGCCAAAACACTTGCTAGGCTGCAAGATCAGGGCGAGAGCGCAGCCACTTGTGCGCCTGTTGCCAGTGCGGGCACCGAGATTGATAAAGATTTTTTTACTGAAGTAGAAACGCTGCTGTTTGTGGAATGTTTGGTTCGGACCGTCAGTGACCTGACTCGATTGTTCAATCAAGTGTCCATAGAAGGGACAGCGCTAGCGAGAAACGAAAGAGTCAAGGGACTACTAATGGATAAGTATGGCGAGTCCATAACGTTCTCTCGTCCCCGCGCACGGAATAAATCCGAGTTGGTTTACGCCACGGAACGTGCACCAGTGATAATAGCACGACTGTATGACAGGGACGCTGCGAGCGAAAGCGAGAGTGAGGAATCTGGTGACAGTCCTAGTGCTAGCGCCTGTGAGAGCCAAGAGGGTATCGCTAGTACCACTACCAGTAGGTCTACCAACTATGGAACAAGAGCACCCAGACGCCCCGCTGAAGTGGATGTGCACCAGACTGTTATTATGCAGGACAGCATACGTCTGGTATACCATTCGGCTAGGCTCCTGCGGAATGCCTGTCAGCAACAGGCAGAGAGTTTCGACACTACAAGCACAAGTCCTGGCAGCAGCACTGGTATGATTTCAGTGAAGCAAGCTGAGCAGTGCATTCCTGCCCTGCTCCACAATTTCCTTGTGTGGTTTTTGAGCTCAGGCCAGCATGACAATATACCAGCAGCATCCAGCAAGCTTGAAGTTGATTCCACGCTCAACCGCTGTGTGATGTCCTTTGCACAGGACCTAGTGTTCCAGTGCACAACTATCGTGCCACCAAAGCATGTTGCTCTTGGTTTGGCTGTACACCATCTGTACAGAAGTGAACGACTTGTGACCATACTGAACAGATTTGGCCACAGCATTGCGTACGCCCAGGTGCTGGAGAGAGAGACACGGATGGCCGAAAGTAAACTCCACAGCAGGGAGGCTACTGACGGCCTTCCGGATATTGTCGATCTCTCCATGCCATTCTTCCACGTTGCTGACAACAACGACCTTAACGAGGAGACATTGGATGGAAAGGGCACGACCCATTGTACCAACACCATTGTGGTCCAACCCGTGTTGCGGCCCGTTCCACAGCCTGAACTGCAGCCCGCTATGCAGCCTGAACAGCAGTCCGTTCCACAGCCTGTACTGCAGCCCGCTGTGCAGCCTGAACAGCCATCCACTACACAGCCTGAACAGCAGTCCGTTACACAGCCGATGGCTGCTACTGAGAGCTCTGGGGGAAAGAAGCGGAAGCGAGCCCTTTCATTAGAGCCAGAATCGCTCCCGGATTTTGTTGGCCGACAGAAGGTCAACCCGCCACGATTTCCATATGCTACAATAGAGCAGTTGGATGGTGTAAAGCACGATGGTACAGACGCTGTTGGTCTTGTAGACTTTGCGTGGCGGCTTGTGAGGGCGTGTCGGGATGCAGATCTCTGCAATCCTGTGATGTCTTTGTCCGAAGAGAATCCCAATCAAGATGTGCCATCGTGGTCAGCATTTAATGGTCTTACAACCAGTGCTAGTACCCCTCCTCGCTCCGTGCTTGCATACTGTCCTGTCGTGAATGCTTCTCCTACTGAACTTTCCACAGTGTATGGTATCCTCAAGAAATGCGTCAGCCGGTGCGAGCGTGCAGGAATGGCCTTCTCACTGATTGTTTTTGACCAAGCCATCTATGCCAAGGCCCTGGATGTGATTTCTCAACGACAAGATGAGTTCTCATCAGTTGTGCTGCGGCTTGGTGCTTTTCATGTTGCATGCACATTCATGGCCGTTATCGGAAAGCGATTCAGAGATGCTGGACTTTTGGATGTGCTGATTGAATCTGGTATTTCCGGCCATGCATCTGCCTCAGCAGCGCTAGATGGAAAGCAGTACAACCGAGCAGTGCGGTTCCACAAAGTTGTTGGTGAGGCCTTGGAGAGAATTCGCTGGAAAGAGTTTGTGGAGAAGTCTGATTCCACACTGACAGACAACATTGAAGTGCTTCGTTCTCCGCTACAAGAACTACGGAGCTGTCTCAATGCTGATAATCTAGCTCGGGTCACAGCGTCACCTGCCTTGCAATCTTTGTGTGCCAAGTATGCCCAGTACTGCCAGGATGAAGTAAATCCAAATTTCAAGTTCTGGTCGTCGTACATCGACATGGTCGATCTCTTGCTACGATTCATTCGTGCCAGCCGTACTGCAGATTGGCAGCTGCACCTGTCCTGTGTTGCCAGTATGCTCCCTTGGTGTTTTGCCTACGATCGTTTGAATTACGCATGCTACATGTCCTATTATCTGGTCCAGATGCAGCAGTTGGTAAATACCCATCCTGAAGCCGATGCTTTCCTTCGACGAGGTGGCTTTTCAGTCCAGCGGTCAGATAATCCGTTCGCCCAAGTAGCGTCAGATCAAGCGATTGAGCAGTCCATCAACCGAGCAAGCAAGACGTCTGGTGGTATCATTGGCTTCAGCCGCCATCCGGCAACTGTACAGAGGTGGGTGTTAACTGCTCATGATCGCGCAGCAGTCACCGACACATGCATGGAGCATTGTGGTCTCGATGATAGCGCTGAGGAGAGGGATGCTTTCCACAAAGAGTGTCAGACAGGACGGATGGCACGTGATGAGAGAGATGTACTGCAAGTCCTAGATACCATCTCACGATTCTTCAACCCCTTCCTCCCTGCCTCCCAACAGCACTGTGAGCAGCTGATGCATCTGTCTTCTGGTACTGAAGCAACCGCTGAAACCTCAACAGATCTTCTGGATGCTGAGAAGCGTGGTCTGGCAGGTTTCCATGACTTTGTCAACCAGCGACTGATCACAGATGCAAAAGCATTCCATGACCCACTGAAGAAGATGAATCTGAAGTCATTCACTGTCAAGAAGAAGAAGAACCCTGTGAATGATCAAGCTGGCATCCTTCGGTCCGACCGGTCAACATTTTCCCGCATTGCTCTGATTGCACAGACTCGCCAAATGGACATGCGTGAAGTTCTCTCATATCCACTCGGACCACTGCCATGGTCACTAGCAACTACATCAGGTACTCTGGTCAAGACGAGCAAGGCAGCCCTACTACCGCTGCTGACCGATGGAATCGCATCTTCCAATAATCCAGATGCTGGTGGAGCTCTGATCATTGATGCCATGGCACACCTGAGGTCCATGAAGGTGTTCGATCTTCCGTCCACTTTTGGTGAGTTTGCTGCTGTTGTTCTGAGCCATCTGTGCCGACTGCTATCTTCATACAGCCGGATCGACTTTGTGGTCGACACGTATCAAGAGATTTCAATCAAGAGTTTGGAACGATCTGCCCGTGCTGCTGATGGAGGACTGCGCCAGCACATCACCAGTCCTGCGCAACGATTGCCTCGGCAGTTTGTCAAGTTCCTGGCAGTTGGTGCCAACAAGGAAGAGTTGCTGGAGTTTCTCTTCAAGCAATGGCAAACAGTCGACCTGATGAAGAAGATTCCAAGCCACAGGGAGCTAGTTATCACCTCCGGCAGCTCGTGCATGAAGATAATGTCTGGTGCTGCCACTACAGTTGCCCTCCCTGTCACTGATCTGGCTTGCGATCATGAGGAAGCAGACACCCGACTCCTTCTTCATGCTCACCACGCAGCGCTAGCAGGATCGCGGACTATCACCATCAAGTCACCCGATACTGATGTTGCCGTGCTAGCAGTTGCGTTCAGCCACTCCATTCCAGCACCTCTCTACTTCATGACAGGAACCGGTGTAAAGACTCGCTACATCCTGATGAATGCTATCAGCGAGAAGTTGGGCCAAGCTGTTTGTGATGCTCTACCTGGCTTTCATGCTTTTACGGGCTGTGACACAACAAGTGCCTTTGCAGGCAGAGGCAAGAAAGGTGCCTTCAAGCTTCTGTGCAACAACTCCCCGGAGAGTGCAGCTGCCCGCTTGGCCTTCAGTACTTTGGGTGCAGCTTTTACACCACTTGCCACCGATGTCATCGACGCCCTAGAGAAGTTTGTCTGCATCATGTACAACACCACGTGTTCCCGGGTCAATGATGCCAGGTACCAGCTGTTTTGCACAAGGAGTCTGCAATCCAACCAACTGCCACCCTGCAATGACGCCCTTCTAAAGCACTGCTGCCGCTCCAATTACCAAGCTGGTATTTGGAAGCGATGCCTCTTGTCACATGTGGATGCACCATCACCGAATGAGAAAGAACAAGGTGAGAGCAGCAATAGTAAAGTACACCTAAGTAAGAGAATGGCAGAATGTATTTCAGTATGTATCTTGTCTGTGTTGGTGTTGAATAAGAAAGTGCAGCAGGCTTTAATACTTATGTACCTGTAAGAGTACCCGCTGTGATAAATCTGCTAAGAAGATGTTGTATAGAACCAGTGTACTTGATATCTCTGTATGTAATGGAGTTTGAACATTTTTTCCTGTCGCTGTGATTCTTCTCTTCATATTACAGGCTGGCACCTAGAAAGCAATGGGACATTGGCAGTTGACTGGTTAAGCCTGCCACCTGCTCCAAAGTCAATCCTAGAGTTCCTCCGGTGCGGGTGCAAAACTGGTTGCAGCAGTGGCAACTGTTCGTGCCGCCGGCATATGCTGTTGTGTACAGATGCTTGCACCTGTCGGCACCACTCTTCAGTAGTATGCACAAACTACCCAGAGCAGCATGCAGCATTGCCTACGACCCAACACATCTCACCTGAAACTGATTTGTAAGTAGTCATTGATATCTTGTTTTGTTTTAAAATAATGCCGTCAATGAATGCTTCACGTGAGAGATATTTATGATAGTAACTGTTTATACCATTGGTGTACATGGCTGGTCAAATCCTTTTAAGTAATGTGAACTTGAATTCAATACTTACAAAGCGTTATATTCTCGTATGTGTGTTATAGGGTCTGCAGTGACACAGCTCATGACTGATAGCAGCCAGCCAACCGTAAGGATTCGGGACTGACAAACTTGTAAGCAATCACTAGTTGCCGTTATCTCTGTGCTGTATTAACTTCCAAGTCTTTAAGCATGAGAGATGCGCTGCTAATGAGCACCTGTCCATACTGACTATACTTGGCCATGTATGTAGATCCGTCACGCGGCTTGCTGCTAACGGGACACAATCATTGTGCGATGGTCTTTTTTCTTTCTTTCTATCTTTTTCAGGTTGAGCAATCATGTGCATGATGGATAGCAGCCAGCTCTAGAGTGTCCCACCACCTCTGGGATATCTTGCAACAAATCTTATGACAGATCTGTGTCAGCATCAGTGGATGCCGGAACTGTCTTTCTTTGGCCGACAACCGCATCCCGCAGCACGGGTGATAGCACATCTTCTTCTTATCATATTATCTACATGACTGTAATATTGTCATTATAATTTAACCTGTACCTTCATTTTAAATTGTTTCCAGAGGACCTATGATCTTCTTACTGGAGCTCCTATACCAGAAAAGTTAGGCATGAAATATGATCGGAATGTCCGGAGACCCATGAAAGCGTGACAGTAATAGTAACTTTACAGATTATGCCAGTACTAAGACTTTATTATTATAATCAGAGACTTCATGCTAGGAAATAATAAATTATCCTTCTAGTGTACTTGTCCTATTTCCTATTTTGTGCAGGCTCCTTGTTGTATAATATGTTCTCAAATGTGACATACATTATTACAATGTATTACTATTGTGAAATGACCCAAAGGCAGTATGCCTATCGAGGGGTTCATTTGATTGAAAGAACAGTACTACTACTAGTATGTGGGGCTTGATGAGGAGAGAAACGCGGAAAATGAACTGCAAGGTGTAGTGGCGGAATTCCGTTGATTGCATAAGCATGGTTAGTGTATATTGCATTCCGTGTATTGACGCTATTGTGTTCTATTCTAAGAAATGCTATTGAGGTAGTAAAACACCTCCGATCATCATGAAAATGTGTACACAGCTAGGTCTGGGCCTTGGCTACTTCATTCCAAAGCAACACTGTTGGTATTTAATCTGCAAGATACCTAAATTGGGAATTATCACTTTGGTTGCTATGGTAACACTCTTCAAGAAGTATTTCGTTGATTTGGTCAACAAAGCCCCATGTTTCTGGGTCAAGTGACACAGATCCTGAAAGCTCTATGTATTCTCTATCATTTGCACATGTCAAACCTTGGTCCCCCTCGAACGGGAACGAAAAGTCACTTTTTTGCACCTTGGCCTGTGGACTACCAGAGTTCTTCCAAAATCACGTCGATCCACACTGAGTCCCAATGATATTTTGGTGACATGATCTCGTCCTGGGCAGTGTGAACGGGTAAGAAACAAGGAAATCCAAGTACCAGGCATCGATTTTACCCAACATCTCGATATTTTGCTCCGATTTTGCCGGCAATTTCCGCTCTTTCAATTCTTCGATATTTTGCCGCAAGAATTGCCGGCAGGATCTGTCTGGGTATAGACCATGGACCACGTAGAACGTTCAAGTCCGGGGTTGAAATGCACACATCATTTCGGGTATTATGCTCTCGTGCCGTCTCCCCAGATGCTACAACTCCCTGATGCACATCTAAGCACACACATGAGCATGTAATACAGCAGTTAACACAAACTATGTACTGGTGCAAAACCTCCCTTACAATGCCTGAAGTCATATCGCCACGTGTAGGAGGATCCGGATGTTTCCAAGAGTCCTGCAATGTTTCCAGAAATCGTAATGGATAGTGCCAGGGTCATGCATATCCAGAATGGACCTGGCACAAAGATAAACAAAGGATGGAGAGGAGTAGACAGGAGAGTAGTCACATTCACCGGGTAACACTAGACAGTTAGACTGGTATCGCTACAGCCTATAGGTGGTATATTCCTATAGGTGGTATATTGCTATAGGTGGTATATTGCTATAGGTGGTATATTCCTATAGGTGGTATATTCCTATAGGTGGTATATTCCTATAGGCAGTATATTCCTATAGGTGGTATATTCCTATAGGTGGTATATTCCTATAGGTGGTATATTCCTATAGGTGGTATATTCCTATAGGCACTTTATAGGCAATTTATAGGCAGTATTTATCCTATACCAACCGTACAGGCAACACGGACTGTTCAGAAGATCTCAACATCTGAACTAATGTGTCACTTACTGACTTAGGAGCCATCCGGCATTATCGATAATTTTCACGGAACGAAAAAGTTTGGTTGTGACCTTACCCACCCATCCACCTCCTTGAATGAAAAATACCGGTATATTGACTTGCCAACGAAAATTGATCGATGTTTCAGTTATCAATATTTTTTTGGCTCCTGGTTTTTCGAATAATAATAATAATTAGGGTTGAAACGATTATACCAATTACTCGGTAATTGATCGATAATTCCTTAACAATCAACTAACCGCAATGCCAAAATGTACTGAAAACCCTATTTTTTGTGAAATTTGAATCAGTTTCCCCTGTGAGTATACAGTTGCCAGGGGAAGAGTTCACGTTGTGAGGTTCAAATGACTTCAACACTGCCATGCTTTGGAGCTACCCTTTCACTAATGCAGATTTTTTGGTACTATGAAGACATAGCTTGTGGAAACTGAGTAATTTTTGCACAAAATCCTGGCACTGTTTGCTAACGATTATAAGATCGTTAAGCTGAAGAGAAATCGATAGGTGAAAATCCATGATCGTTCATTTGGAATACTGACATTTTCAGGAGATGAATGCGGTTTTGAGGCGTGGTGGATTGCGCTCTCTGCGTGTGTGGACAAATCGCCAGTGTCACCGGAGTGCAGGATACTCAGGCTTGGGCGATATATGAGAGAGCGAGCTACTGAGAAACATCAAACGCCTGGGATACACTGCCGCTTCCTATGAAGCTGCCAAGGGCATGCTCGCAAAAAAGTATTGTGGCGAGCGTCGTCATCTTGCAATCCAGCTCGAGGAGATTGAGGTGATGAGACCAATCTGAGAAGGCAAGCCACGGGAGCTGCAGCAGTTCGCTAAGTTGCCGATGGTAGCAACTGTCCATCTCAAAGAGGCAGGACAACATGCAGCGCCGTCGATTGGAACACTTTATCACTCCAATCAGGTTTCAACGTAACGTCTAAAACAGACTGTTGTATAGTGATGTGTTGTTTTCCTGTGTGATGACATTCCCAAAAGGCCAAAACTGTCTTCGTCTAGTCGCGTGCATGTGTGCTATTAGCATGCGCGATGTTGTAGTGGAGAGTCCTTTTGTCAGTCTTCTGGTTCGTCTCTTTGAATGTAGTCTGCTTTTCCGTCATATCAATACAATAATGTAAACAAACTAGTCTTGTCCTTTGTGTCCTGCGCCCCGGGGAACGGAATGGCTGTGATTCCGTTACAAGACCAATCCCATACCTCGCAGGACCATCGTGTAAGAGCATTGCTTACTCGCAACAAGTCACTCCCAAGCAAACGTGCAGCCTGCCAGAGTCAACACCAAGTCTGGAAGGGTCTGATATTCAAGTCAGCAACACCGGATGAACGATGGCAGATGCAAAAACCGATAACCTGTGTTTTCATTTCACTCTCTCTCTCTCTCTCTCTCTCTCTCTCTCTCTCTTTCCGTCGAACCTTGATGTTGAACCTCTTGATCTTCGTCCTTCGTCCTCTATCCGACTGAATCGTGTGATCCTGTGATCCTTACAGATGTCTAGGCACAGGACACAGTGGCTAAGAATGTACTTGCGGAGACACCTGTTGGCTTCCGCCTAACCTCAATGGATTTGACTTGCACAGCAACCGCTCAGGATGTTTCCGTGACCTTCAACAAGGAGAACAGTGGCGATTCAGCAAGAAACACAGCACCAACAACAGATGAGAGATACGAAAAGCTCAGTGATGAACCAAAAAGTGAAATTAAGACTCGATGAGATTCGTGCTCGGTGCAAACGCCTCTTACACCATCGTGTAAGAGCATTGCTTACTCGCAACAAGTCACTCCCAAGCAAACGTGCAACCTGCCAGAGTCAACACCAAGTCTGGAAGGGTCTGATATTCAAGTCAGCAACACCGGATGAACGGTGGCAGATGCAAAAACCAATAACCTGTGTTTTCATTTCTCTCTCTCTCTCTCTCTCTCTCTCTCTCTCTCTCTCTCTCTCTCTCTCTCTCTCTCTCTCTCTCTCTCCGTCGAACCTTGATGTTGAACCTCTTGATCTTCGTCCTTCGTCCTCTATTCGACTGAATCGTGTGATCCTGTGATCCTTACAGATGTCTAGGCACAGGACACAGTGGCTAAGAATGTACTTGCGGAGACACCTGTTGGCTTCCGCCTAACCTCAATGGATTTGACTTGCACAGCAACCGCTCAGGATGTTTCCGTGACCTTCAACAAGGAGAACAGTGGCGATTCAGCAAGAAACACAGCACCAACAACAGATGAGAGATACGAAAAGCTCAGTGATGAACCAAAAAGTGAAATTAAGACTCGATGAGATTCGTGCTTGGTGCAAACGTCTCTCCGTTCTTGGCCCAGTTTATCTACCAAGAACAGGTATGGGCCAGTCGCAACAAGTATTTATTAGCTGTGGAGACTATGTTGCAGTCCACCTACATGGATGACTCGATGGATTCAGCCACGGATGCCGACGAGGGTGTAGCAATGTACGAGCAGCTGTCGTCAGTCTGCTGGAAGGAAACCAGAATACACGCAAGAAAATGGCGCTCGAACTCGAAGACTGCCATGGAGAAAGTGCCCTTAAGCTGCCTGGAATTGCAGAGTGTCAAGGCGCTGAGACTGCTCCCGGTTGGCCGCGGCAGATACCAGTAGTAGCTTTACATTTAAGCCGAACTACCAGATCTGTCAATAGCAGATGCAACAAGAGAACAAACATGTGTAGCGACCTGACTCACTCAATTACGTCATTCTACATACGCATGCGCAAGAAATAAAATCATTCTCTTTGGTCACAACTTCTTCGTTGTCCGGTTGGCCAAAGTAGCCGTCGTCTAGGGCCCGACGTAAAACCCTAAATTGGTGACCCCCGACGCTGCGCTCTTCGGAGTTTTGAGCATGCCATCCCCGAGCTCGGCCCGCCGCAGTTTCCTGCTCGCCTCAACTCTCGGGATCCCGTCAATCGCCGGCTGTTGACGTAAAACTTGAGCCTCACCACCACTCGTCACTGGATCCGCCTCGGAGCTGCTGTGGCCCCTGCCACCCTCCCCGGCCCACCTGGATACCCCGCTATCCTGCCACGGCATTGTCCAGTCGTCCGTATTCGTCCATATTCGTCCTGGCCTCAAGCTGGAAATTGGCCACCTCCACCCGTCGTACCAGCTCACTCACCGTGCACGCACGCAGGCACACGCCCGGCACCGGACCCCATGGAGCTGCGCTCGCCTCCATCTGTCCCCGCCTCAGTCGGCACGCCTCGCCCCTGTGCAGCGCTCCTGCTGGTATCCCGCCAAGCCTGCAACATGCAGCCGCCTCTGACATGATAATACTCCTCTGTCACGCGTACATTTCCTCTTTTCTGTCTTTCTGCCTCTGACATGCTCTCCACCTCTGTCACGTTAACACACCTCTGACACGTTAACCCGCCTCTGTCATGCATCTCTCTCATTTCCGCTTTCTGCATTTTTGATTTTGTTTCGGCCTTTGTTGCCACGTCACAAACAAATTTCATACACGCAGCGCTCTCGCTTGTACATATGTATCATATTCTTATAGTTTTGCCTTTCCGCCTTGTACATGCTGCGTTTCCTTTCTCTTCTCTTTCTTGTTTATCGTGCTTCGCTCCTCCCGACCTCACCACTGGCGGGGGAGTACTGTAGCGACCTGACTCACTCAATTACGTCATTCTACATACGCATGCGCAAGAAATAAAATCATTCTCTTTGGTCACAACTTCTTCGTTGTCCGGTTGGCCAAAGTAGCCGTCGTCTAGGGCCCGACGTAAAACCCTAAACATGCTCAGTGGAATGACCTACACAACACTCACCGTACAAGTCAGGCTTGCGACCAATGACGGACAAGAAGCTTGACTTGGGTATGAATGAGCCCCAGATGCGCGACAACACCTGCCACCACACATCGCCCGCCACCCAACACACAGCACACACAGCACACGTGTTCCAGTCAATTCATGTACATGTACATACAGTACACGTACTGTTCTGACTAAGTGCATGCCGGCCTCCCAGCACAGAATACGAACGCATCAACAGCGTGCCTTAGAAACGCACATGCTGTAAGCCAAGTGCCCCCGAGAAATAACCTGTTATACGGCTTTGGTTAACTGCATACATGCTCGCACTAGGCCCAGACAGATTCTGCTCCGCTCGGCTCGATATTTTGCAGCAAAATGTTGCTCCGAAATCTTCGATATTAGCTGAGCCTGGACCTAG